AGAGGCCCAGCTGACTCAGAAGCCTGGGTTTACAGTAATGAGCCCAGGCTGCCACGGCGCACACAGCTTTATCCTCATGACGAATGCACTTTTCTCTGTGAATGATTTGGTTCAATAGGAAGTTTGTCTAACTAATGTATGCACGTTTATCTTCACATATACACATACAAATCACCTATTATTAGAATCAGTCGACTTTCCGACATCTCTGATTTGTATATAAATTTTACTGGGCTCAAAACTTAAAAGTAACTGTATGTTGACTGGCCAAACGCACAATTTCACCAAGGGAAATTGAGGTCAATGAGAAAGCAGTTTCTTCAAGTTCTCTAATGTTCACAAGAGCAACATCCAAAAGAATACTTTCTAAGTTCTCCTAATTGTTAGGGCTAATTGTCAGCTGCCCGGCTCTAAACCTAACCTCATTCCTCGGCAGCCACTTCCTGGCAGGACAAAGAGCTGAGCGCACAGCCATACACAGCCGCCCGGGAGAGAACCTGCCAGCACTGCATGGGTTGCTCCCTCGCCTCAAACCGGCTCCTGCAAGGGTGTCCCTCCACCTCGCTGTGGCACAAATCCCCAGAGCCTGTGCCACAGGGGACCTGAGGAGCAGGAGGCTCTGAGAGGGCAGGGTAGCGATGACCCAGGATCCCAGCAGGCATGCACCCGGTTCCTTGACAAGACTTTCAGGCTGTGTCCCCTCCTCTTATTCAAATCACCTTCTTCCAGGCGTTTCAGGGGAGGGCCAAGTTCCTATCTTTCATCTTCATCCCTTGGCAATGGCCATCAGCTGCTCTCCCAGCTTGTCTCTGGCACCATCTTCGTGAGTCCTGCCTGGCGAAACTAGAAGACCACACACACCCACGCGTGGGTACACACAGCGTTCTCTTCTGAGCCTCTGCTTTCAAAACGCTGGCTGCTGGCCCCTGGTAAATCACTTGGGTTCAGGCTGTTTTGATCTGCCTCATTCCAGGCCCGGTGTAAATTCCCAAGATGTCCACGAGAGGGCACTGTAATACCACCTCACACCATCCTGCTTTCCAGCGACCCCCCCCCCCCTCCGAATTCCCAGGAGAACTGGCCCCTCTGCCGTCCCCTGACCCGGGGATCCAGGGAAAGACAAACGGTTGAGTGGCGTTGGGTCATCTTTCAATCTTTCCACGTTGGATGGCAAGCCCATGGCAGCCCCATCTCGGAATCAGGCTGAGCCTGATGGCCGCAGTTTCTTCCTCCTTTCTCACCACCACCTCTCTCCACCCAGGACCAGCTGTTGCTGCCCTCCTGCCCCAAACTTGTCGCGTGGGAAGCTACAACACAGGAAGTAGGTGTTGTGGTGCTGTAGGTCAGGCTGCCACTTGAGACATTCACATCCTTTATGGCAATACCAGCTGAGGTTCCGGATACCCCACTTCCAGTCCAGCTCCATGCGAGTGCACCTGCCAAGCGCAGATGCTGACTCCGTGTTTGATCACCCACGTGGGAGATCTGGCTCCTGGGGTCAGATCAGGCCTGGCCATTTGGGGAATGAATCAATTACGGACGATTCTTTCTCCCTCCTCCTCTCTCACTCTGTCAGCCGAAGATACCAGTCCACCTGGCTTAAAGTCATAGCTCATTAGCCCACTCAAAGGGGAGGGTAGCATGATGCTCTTGGTACAACTTCTTTATCTTAGAAAAACAAACAAAACAAAAGGCAACTCTTTGTCTTGAAAGCATTTCCAAGCCCACAACATGCTAACTGACGCAATTCTACTTCTTGCTGAATGTTTCAAAGCCACCAATGGCACGGTACTTGGACACAAAGTTACTTCTCTTGGTGACTGTGGCCCAGAGTTCTTTTTTGAGCCACGGGACCTCAGGTCCGTTCCTGGATCCATTCTTGGCCTGCCATCTGAACTTGGGTAAGTTACTTACCCTCCTGACCCAGCAGATCGCTCAGCTGCTAAAATGAGGAGTGTCAGAATGCAAAGGTCCCTTATCCCCCATGGTTGGGAACAGAAATGTCTCAGATTGTGAATTTTTTTTAATTTGGGAATATTTGCAAATACATAATGAAATATCTCAGTGTAAACACTAAATTCGTTTTACTTTCATAGACTGAGTGACTTTATATGATGTTTTCAGTGTGTTCGTATTTTGACTGTGACCTGTCGCATGAGGTCAAGTGTGGAATTTTCCACTTGTGGCGTCACTGGAGAGCTCAGAAGGCTTTGGCTTTTGGAGCAGTTCGGCTTTCACGTTTCCACGTTAGGATTGTTAAGCATGTGTTTTTGTGTTATAAGATCATTGTGAAGATTGAGCAAACTAAGGTATATGATGAGTGAAGTATAAGGTACTTAAGTACCAAAAATTGGCTATTTTTTTTTTAAGATTTACTTATTTTTCCTGGAAAAAGATCAGATTTTTCAGAGAGGAGAGACAGAAAGATCTTCCATCAGCTGGTTTACTCCCCAAATGGCCACAACAGCCAGAGCTGAGCCAATCCAAAACCAGGAACCAGGAGCTTCTTCTGGGTATCCCACACAGGTGCAGGGTCCCAAGGCTTCGGGCCATCCTTTGCTGCTTTCCCAGGCCACAAGCAGGGAGCTGGATGGGAAGCAGAGTAAACCCACACCAGTATGGGATCCTGGTACTTGCAAGATGAAGATTTTAGCCATTGAGCTGTTGCGCTAAGCCTTAAATATTGGTTATTTTTATAGCCTTCGCCAAGTCATATAAAATTTTCCAAATGCAAAGTGATGCCAGTTTTGTTTTTCTTATAATCTGAAGCAAGATCACCCTAAATTGAGAATTAAGAAATTCTCTACAATCACCAAGACCAGGAAACAATGAATTATGTGGAGACTGTTGATTTTTTTTTAATTAATTGATTCATTTAAATGGCAGACTGAGAAAGAGAAGAGAGATCCGCCATCTGTTGGTTCACTTCCCAAGTGACTGCAGCAGCCAGGGGCTGGACCACGTCGGAGTCAGGAGCCAGAAGCTCCATCCGGGACTCCCATGCAGTGGGAAGAGTCCAAGTAATTGAGCCATCTTCCACTGCTTTACCCTTAGCAGGGGCTGGATGGGACGCAGAGTCTACAGAACACCCACACAGGGTGCCAGCAGCACAGCCAGCAGCTGAAGCCCCGGCACCGTGACGCAGGCTGGCTCCTGTAGGGAGTGTCTCAGTGGCACAAGCCTTTGCCACATTGGCACAATGATGTCACTGATGACATTAGGTTACTGGCAGGTTAGTGACGAGATGCTGTTGATAAGAGCTGTAGAACATTGGACTGTAAATGAATATGGAGATACACTAGTGCTAAAATCACTTGGGACCACGCTGCATTGTGTGTGACAGTGCAATGAGAAAGGAGCTGGGCTGTGGGTAGGACCAGGTGTAGACAACCTCAGATGTGCAAACCAGTGATGCTGGGCAGTGCTGGTAATCAGGAAATCATTGTCTCTGCCAAGAAACAAAGAACTGTGCTGTCAATGTTCCCGTCACGGTAACTTCACATCCCAACCTGATGTCGCGATGAGCCACTGCGGAAGGAGCTGTGGACACTGGGTCATCTCCAGGCTTGGCAGCGAAGCCTCATCAGGAGACTGTGCGGCCCAGAGAGACAGAGAGAACTGTGAGGAGGAAGAGGCGGCTCATGAATCCTCCTGCAACTGGAGACAGAAGGGACCCCGACAGCTCAAACGCTGGAGCAGCTGTGTCTCCTTGCACACCTGCAGGAGGGCACCAACTGCCTGCCTGCCTGCCCCACTGCCTTCCTGCCCCCTCCTCCATCAGCTGGCTCTGGGCTTGGACATAGTCCCTCGGGAAGCTGCCACCATCACGTGACTCTGGCGCAGCCAGAGCTCAAACAGGAAGACACAGAGCTCCGTGTCCTGACGCAAGGCGGGAGCTGCCTTTGGCTATGGAAACGGCCTGTCAGAAGTGCTGGGGCATAAATCTTTAAAAAAAAAAAAAAAAAGAAAGAAAGAAAGAAAAAAAAAAAAGGGCCCGGCGCGATGGCGCAAGTGGTTAAGGTCCTCACCTTGCACGCCCGGGATCCCATATGGGCGCCGGTTCTAATCCTGGCAGCTCTACTTCCCATCCAGCTCCCTGCCTGTGACCTGGGAAAGCAGTCAAGGACAGCCCAAAGCCTTGGGACCCTGCACCCATGTGGGAGACCCGGAAGAAGTTCCTGGATCCTGGCTTCGCATTGGCATAGCATCGGCCGTTGCGCTCACTTGGGGAGTGAATCATCGGACGGAAGATCTTCCTCTCTGTCTCTCCTCTCTGTGTATCTGCATTTTCAATAAAAATAAAATAAATCTTAAAAAAAAAAAAAAAGAAGTGCTGGGGCAGCTGAAGTGCTGGCTCTTGGTCTAAGTCAGTGAGCAGCACATCCTGAGAGCCAGGCACTGTCACACACACTTGGCGAGGACTAGCAAAGGGATTCCAGCAACCATGAACAGGTGCTGCGTGAAGCCCCAGGTTAGATGTGGAAGCTCACCTGTGGATGCAGAGTGCAGAGCAGGGATCTCACCTCGATGAAGCTGAGTAATCATTTGTCTTTTATTTTTGGTGACTTACATGTTTCTTCCCAAACAACTGATTTACTTCTTACGCTTTTATTTATTTGAAAGGCAAATGAATTTGAAAGGCAAAGCAACAAAACGTACAGACACAGAGAGACAGACAAGCAGGCAGAGCTTCCATCTGCTTTCTAGTGGCTGCAACGGCAGGGCTGGGCCAGGCTGAAAGCCAGGAGTCAGGAAGTCAGCCTGAGTCTCCCATGGGTGGCAGGGACACAAGCATTGAGCCATTGCCTGCCACCCCCGCCCCCAACTGCTGTCAGCGGAAAGCTGGATCAGAGAGGGACTCCAACCTAGGAACTCCAGCAGGGGGCGCAGGAGCGACACCTGCTGTGCCAAACACCAACTCCAGAGTCACTCCCTGCATTTTGTTTCTTTTCTAATATATTTTTGTTTACTTGTCTATGTAAAAGGTAGAATGAGAGATATGGAGGGGGAAATTCTTTATTTATGAGTTCTCTTTCCCAATAACCACATCAGCCAGATGCTGGCCAGGCGGGAGCCAGGAGTCCAAGGTCTCCATCCAAGTGGTGGGTCCAAGTGGTGAAGCGCTTTTCCTGTTTCCCCAGGCACATGAGCAGGAATCTGAATCAGAAGCAGAGCAAATGAGACTCCCATACAGCATGCAGACATCCCAAGTGGCAGCTTAACCTGCAACGCACAACATGCCCCCCACCCAGGGCAGTTCATGGCAGTGAGTTCTGTCCATTGCAGCTGCTCACGTCCATTCACAGGATGTGAGTAGCCTTGAACCACCTCTCTGCCCCCCAGCTCTTACCACTCAAACTGTTTCTAGCACAGCCAAAAGTATCCTCTAGTGGGGCTGGAGGACTCCCAGTGGCCCCTGCTGAGAACCACTGCCCCTTCCTAAATTCTTTCTGTTTTGATGTGTTGAGTCACCCAGACAATCCTGGATTAGCCACAGCTTGGGTTTCCTGGAGCTGTGTGTCCCATACAAATAACCCAATGTCCTTTGTGCCCTGGGTCACCCACAACACATGGCCACCAGACCCTGTGTTGTCTAAAGCCTCACCCCTACACACACACACGCACATGCTCTCATTGAGCCTTGTGTAACCTGTTACCCAGTGGTATCCATGCCCCTGTCACCAACAGCATTGGCATGGAGTCAGGGTCACGGAGCTGTTCCCAGAGACAAAAGATGTCTACACGGACGCGTGGAAATAGAAAGAAGCCCAGATGCACACATTGAAAGGTGGGGAGATATCCAACATGGCAAGGCAGCACAGAGAGAGGCCCAGCTGCCCCAAGGCCTCAGCTGGTTACTCTAAGTGGGTCACCAGTGACCCGCCAAGTTTCCAAGCCCTGCCTGGTGCCTTCATGCCCCCTCCCCTGCCTCTGGATTAGACTGGGGATAGGCAAGCTTGAGTTTGAGAGTAAGGAGCTTAAAGCCAATGTGACGGCTAATCATGCACACGAGGCCTGTCAGGTCACCAAGGCCCAAGCAGCCTCCTTTCCCATCACCCGATCACCTTACCATCTCTCCCCGGGGGTGCCAGGTTGACAAGCTCCTGTCCCTTGTCCGGCAGGTGGTTGGGGAAGAGGATGGTTGGGGAAGAGTGCAGGATCCCTCTGGTTCCATCACTGGGGTGCTAGGACGAGGTGTAGTATCTGGGACGATGATAGAGGCCCAATATCCATGGACAGAGACTTGCATCTCGCACAGGACAGTCTCCGGATACATCTGACAGAACTGGAAGAGATGGACTCTCGGATCTCCAGGGCCCTTGAGGGCCTCCAGAGCCCTGATGTGGGGGACAGTAAGGACTTTAAAGGAATCCCAGCCCGTCCCCAAGCAAGCCTGGCACGGTTGCCATGGGGATGCCCCAGTTGCTCCAGAGGCGGCTGCTGTCCTTGAAGTGAGGATGGCGGAGGCGGTCCCTGGCCGAGGCGGGTCGGGGTGAGAGGTCAGCGCCGTTTGGGAACATTCCTGAACATGGTCAGGGGCTGCTGATCCCAGCTCAGGCCACGTCTCCATCACTTCTGCCTCTGATGCTCCCGGAAGGGGGAGACAGGAACCTGCTGTGGGTGAGGTCGGGGGGCCCAAGTTGTGGGTGAGGCTGGGGAGTGAGCCATTATTCTTCCCAGGAGGGGCCCAGGGTTCTGGTGAGAAGCATAGCGTATGAGGGCTCATGTCCTGGAGAAAGAAAAAAAAAAATCTGGCCAAACATTAGCGCAAGTCAGGGCCTTGGAGTAAGGATGCCAAGGCCTTGGGACCTCGGTGGGTGTCTCCATTTCGTTGAGTATTTTGTTAGTAAGAGCATCCGATATGACGCTAAACTTTTAACGAATCACATTTTTTTTAATGTGCAAATTTAAAGAGATTTAAGGTCACCTTTGCTTTTCATGTCTAAATTAAGGAGAATTTATAAGTTTTCCCAAACTCTGAGGTTAGGTTTTCTTATTTCTAAATGAGAACAACCGCTCTTGAAGTTATGGGGAGGATTAAACAAGAAATCAATGTAATGTTCTCAATACAGAAAGTGCTCCATACATCACAACTTTTGGGGAGGAAAAAAGTGCATTTAGAAACTGGAGAGACAAAATGAAACAAGATTACCAGGAACTGCGTCCAGTTTGGCTGGCTGGTTGGAGCCGGTGTCACCTGTTCTGAGGGCAGTAACTATGCAAGGATCAACTTTCCTTCCTTCTTCAGCAGGCCAAGGGGCTGTGTGGGGAGAGGGTGGCTGGAGACGCCCCAACCGCCCTGGGAACCCACCAACTCTGCAGCTCACATCTGGTATGATCCAAGAAGCGCCATCAAGTTCAACTTGAGCAGTCTGAGCAGAGTCACAGGGGCCTAGGGGAAAACACACTTGATCTATACATATGTGTGTATGTTGACCTAGGTTGCTCTCCTATGACCACAAGGAGCAGGACTGAACCAACTCAAAGTTAGGAGCCCTGAATCCCCTCCAGGTTTCTTATGTGGGTGCAGGGGCCTGAGGACTTGAGCCATCTCCCAGTGCAGGCACACTAGCAGGGAGCTAGTGGGAAGTGGAGCAGCCAGGACTCGAATGGATGGCATAAAGGATGCCAGGGTTGCACATGGTGTCTTTACCTGCTACGCCACAACGATTGTCCTTTACACTTTTAGAAGTTCCTGAAGACTCAGAGTTATGTTTGCATAAGCTTTATCTGTTGACAGTCAACAAAGTTTAAAAATATTCATCCAAAGCAACAATAATGAATTCAATATCTATTAACTGATAGAGAGCATACCTATAAAAAAAAAAAGCTAGATGTTTTCCAAGACAAAAGTTGTAGTAGAACAGCGGCCTTGTTTTACATGTTTGCAAATCTCACTGATGTCTGGCGCCACACAAGACAACTGGACTCCTTGCTTCCGCATTCCATTTATCACCAAAGGATATTATGCATCATGGGAAAGCACTTCAATTACCTTTTCAGCTGATGATGCCTGATATTTTATACTACACCAAAACTCAAAGAAGTAGTTTCTTAAAAGTTATCCGCAAGTGTGGTCTTCCTGCATTTGATCATTAGTCTGGGGCCCGGTACAATAGTCCAGTGGCTAAAGTCTTCACCTTGCACGTGCTGGGATCCCATACGGGTGCTGGTTCTAATCCTGGCGGTCCTGCTTCCCATTCAGTTCCCTGCCTGTGGCCTGGGAAAGCAGGCAGTTGGGACCCTGCACCTGTGTGGGAGACCCAGAAAGGGATCCAGGCTCATGGATTTGGATCAGCTCAATTCCGACTACTGCAGCTACTTGAGGAATGAATCGGCTGATGGAAAATCTTCCTCTCTGTCTCTCCTGCTCTATTTTTTATATATCTGACTTTCCAATAAAAATAAATGAATCTTGGGCCCGGCGTGGTGGCGCAAGTGGTTAAGGTCCTCGCCTTGCACGCCCGGGATCCCATATGGGCACCGGTTCTAATCCCGGCAGCCCCGCTTCCCTTCCAGCTCCCTGCTTGTGGCCTGGGAAAGCAGTCAAGGACGGCCCAAAGCCTTGGGACCCTGCACCCGTGTGGGAGACCCAGAAGAGGCTCCTGGCTTCAGATCGGCATAGTATCGGCTGTTGCGCTCACTTGGGGAGTGAATCATCGGACGGAAGATCTTCCTCTCTGTCTCTCCTCTCTGTATATCCGCCTTTCCAATAAAAAAAATAAATAAATGAATCTTTTTTTTAAGTCATTGATCTGTGTTGCACTAGCCACTGATCTTTGACCCATGCATGATTCTGTAATGTCATGCATTGGTCATTTGGAAAATATTGGTCCACCAAGTTTTACAGATGTTCCAAATATTAAGAATTTTCATTCCACACCTCCAAAACCACCAAGCAGGTCCATTTGTTAATGTCATCATCAAGAGCAGATTAAAGTTCCCCAAATCCTAATTTTCACTTGTGAGCCCCACCTTGGCCATGGCCCGCATTGCTAGGAGCTGTACCCTGGGACCGTCCTGGACTTGCTTGGCTCCTAAACACAGGAGTTTCTCACTTGCTCTTAAGCAAAGCCAGTGTTTGAACTCAGTCATGAAAGCGCTTTCCAAGCAGTGAAAAGATGTGCATCCAAGGGTTAAGAGTTAGCAGAGCTAGTAAGTTTTTCTACTTCATGAGTGAAACTGGCCTGTCTTGTTCCCTTTTCACTCCCCTTGCATAGCAAGAGGGGACAAACCCTCCCAAGGCCGCTGGGTGCTGGCTCTCGGCGTCTGCTGGGGTACTGTGGTTCTGCCCATTGTCGTTCTTGCAAACACGGATCAGGGGAACGCGGCAAACAGCAGCTGTGGATGTGAGAGTCGGAGAGATTCCCAGCGATCCTTGAGCGGTGTCTTGAGCCCCGAGGTTCCAATTAAAGAATGAGAAGAGTCATGTTGACTTTCTAAATGACATTTTTAGATGTCACTCCCAGGCATGCAAAATGCTTTCACAAATAACCCGTGGAAAGAAAAAAGACCGCTCCATCTGTGGGTACTATTTGCTTTACTTCCTCAAAAAACAAAAAGGGGGCGGGGGAGTGAGAACCGGCCTAAGCCCATGGGAGTGGATCAGGCATGTGAAGTCATCCATCACGCATGTCATGGTGAGCAGCCACAGTCATGGGACCAAAAAGGCAAGGGGCGCTGGGAACTCCGGGCCCTCCACCACCTTCCCCCACACTCCCACTAGCTGCAGCCCCCTCCACAACCGGTCAGGTCATAGCCCCTCTCTCTCTCTCTCTCTCTCTCTCTCACACACACACACACACACACACAAACACACACTATCCCACAGCCATATCAAGCTACATGCAAAGTCTCATCAGCCAACCGTGTTCATAGCCACACAGTGCCTGCACAGCCGCTCACTGTGTCTCAGTGTGGCTCACTTGACAGTATCAGCTGCCCGCACATCCCTAACTGCAAAGCATGAGAGCATAGCTTTCAGAAACAGACTCAAGTTCGAGGGCTGACATCCCCAAGCGCTGGTGTTCAGCAACATGTTGAACCTGCCTGAGACCGAGCCCCCAGAAGATGGATGCCAGAAAAATAATCAGGCGGTGGCCGCACTATGTCTGACCCTAGTCCCACTGCCACCACTCCCCCACACACATACTCCCCGCCCCGCAGCCTAGGCCCTCTGGCAGGTGGGAACCCAGCTGTAACTGTCGTGTGTGGCTTTTGTCACCAGAGGGCACCAGGGCTCCAAGGTGTCTGTGGGGGGCTGCTGGAAGCAAATATGCCAGAAAGGCCAGGATTCCTGGACACTGGGGGGGAGGGGGGGAAGTGGGCTGGGCAGGTGTGGCGATGTGTATGGGCTGGGTAACCCCTGGGAACCCCAGCCAGGACTCAGGCCACCTTGGTTTGCTGCTGATATGGCAAGGATCTCCTGGGGAAGATCCCACTCTGGGAAGGAAGTTGAGCATGCGTTCTACAAGCCAGGCTCTCTTCTACGCCTGTCTCAAGCGAAGTTAGCTGCCCCACTTTGTTAGCACTATTGCCACTGACAGACACCCCTGCCGGTATTCCTGGGGAGGGATACTGGAGGAACCGAGGTCCAAGTTTAGACCTGGGATACACTGTGGGGGCAGGCAGCTGGCTTCACCATCCTGACCTAACCACGCTTCCTCCTTGCTCTCACAATGACCCACCGCCCCTTCCTGGGGTCTTGCCAGGACTCCCTGACCCCAGCTGTCTGCCCTGGAGCTCTTCCAAGCCCAGCTGGCCCTTTCCCAGTTTCCACTCTGCTCCCCCTGGGCCAGCCCCTGGTAAGAGGCTTATCAGACATGTGGGGGGGGACAGATAATTCAGGGCCTCAGCAGGGCTTATCCAGCTCTGCCATCCCCAGCTGCTGGGGAGCAAGGACTGGGGGTTGGGGAGGAGCTACAAGCAGATGGAGCCCCACCCACCCAGGCAACACCACGCTAACCTCCTCACTCCCTGCCCCCAGGCCCAGGGCCTGTGTCACTCTTTGTGATGTCATAGCTCCATGATGTAATTGTTTGTGGTCTTGCTCAGGCAGGCCTGAAGAAGTGAGGTCAGACAGGAGCCCTGTCCAGGCTCCAGATGACCAGGTAAGAGGAGCAGGTGGTGTTACAAGATCCTCCCCAGGCAGGCAGTTGTTTCTGGTATTGTCTGTACCACTTGTAGCCATCCCTCTTCCTGTCTTCCCCACCCATGGAAGGCCCTGGGTCCAGCACCGGCGAGGCAGGGGCAGGGGGAGAATTCTCCAGGGTTATTACAGAACAGCTCCAGAATCAGCCTCCTGCTAAGCAGCCAGCCCTTTCCTCCCTGCAGTGGGCCTGAGGGGAAGAGAGGAAGGGGAGGGAGAGCATGACCAGACATTCCAGACTGATAGAGCCAAACCTGCTCAGATGGTCACACACACCAACTTGCTGATGCGGCACGCACAGCCTCACAGCAACAGGATGAGGGCCACCCACACTCCCAGCCAGTCCCACAGGCAGCCCCACATCGCTTCACTGTGCCACCAGGAGAACAGGAACTCTTCTCTCCCCTGGCTGGGTTCCTAGAGAGTGGCACAACTCCCAGGCCAGAGCAGACGCACATGATATTTTGGTGAGTAACTGGATATTCGTTGATGCTGGCTCTGTGACCGTAGGTGAGGGTAGGGTTCTAGACTGGGCTGGGAGCACCGGGAAAGCACCACTCCCAGCCCAGCTTCAGTCAAGGGGCCTCTCTGGGTGGTGCCTGACCTTAAAGAGACCTTGGTGCTACAAGGGCCATCACATCCTCTTCTGGTGAATGGGATACTGGTGCTCCCTAAGTTGGATGCTCTGGACACAAGTTGAGCAACATTAATAGAAGGCCCTTAGAGTGGTGGGCACTGCAGGCTCTGGGGACTGAGAACTTTGGGTTCAGGTTCCTCTCCAGGGCAGGCGCTCTGGCACCCTTGGCTTGGAGAATTAAGGACATTGGGAGTTAAGGAGTATTTAGGAGCCTAGATGTACAGGTGCTCTGGAGTTTGGGATGACCCCTAGCCCGCGGTCATGTTAGAGCTTCCGGTCTGCCTGGTTCTAGCGAAGATGCTGAGGTCCTAGAGAGCGGCTCGTACTGCCTGAAAGGAAGGCAGAGGGGACAGAGAAAACCCAACATGGTACCACAGAGGCACCTGGAGCCCCAGACAGGGCTCCTGGGTTTGGAACCTGTCTAATGCACCCCACTATATTGGCAGAGGGCAACAAGGGTGGCTGACACTGACCACTGAGCCTCAAGCACAAGAAA